CCCCTGCAAAAGTGAACAAAAAATGAAGGAATTTCCATGGGAGGGTCCAAATTTTAAAACAAATCTGCGGAAATTCCAAAGGGTAGGTAAGAAAAATGAGTAAAACGTATGGAATTTCCATGGGAGGGTCAACAATGGAAAAGAAATTCCAAAGGATAGGATCAAAATCAGCAAGGAATTTTCCAAGGGATAGCTACTAATCAAAGAATCAATATGGAATTTCCACTGGCTAGATCAAAAACTGTCAAGGAATTTCCATGGGGTGGGTTAAAAGTTCATAAAAAATTTGCGGAAATTCCATGGGGATGGCTAAAATTCAATAAAAATCTGCGGAAATTCCACGGGGAGGCAAAAAATTCGCTTAAAAAATGTGGAAATTCCAGGGGAGGGGGGGACCAAAAAATGGATGTCCTCAATAGGGGGGGTTTGGTTTAAAAATCCAATGGCCCAATGGCAAAAATAGACTTAAAATCTTAAATAGTCAATATATAAAACATTGACACCAAAAATGGTTCTTACTCCTTACTATTTGTATATTTATTACATACATACAACATATCATATATTATTTTATAGTTCCATGGAATCACATCAAGATTAAAATGTGTTAGAAGCTAGAGAAGAATAATTGCAACTTAATATATTCGCAGGCAATATAACATAATTGCTATTGCTTTATGTAAATGTAGTTGATAATCAAACTTTCTATAACCTTCAATTGTATGAATGCTTCAAACTATCTTTAATATTTGATGTTAAGAAATATTTTCTTTCTGTTGAGTCCTAGACCTTTTGTTTTTAATTCAAGCAATCAAACTGCCAAATTACTGTAATTATTAAAAGCATAGGTCATTGATAATCAGTTGAATTTTAGAACTGCTTTGGGAAACCCTATTTTGTAATGAGACACATTACTTCTTGCATTATTGTAAATTGTAAGGTCAATGGGATAAACTGCTTGATGCACAGTAGATTTTATAATCTTAAATATAGTTGCACTCACTCACTATTGTATAAATAATTCTATTGTTATAATAAAGTATTACTTTTAACTTTGTGTAATAGTGTTTTCTAATTCTTTGACTCATCAGATGCACAAGTCAATAATTAAACTTTTCTAAAAAAATAAAATAAATTTGCCTGTACTCTCAGGAAATGAAAACATGATAAACTCTCAATTTTTGCCTTTTGAGTTTAGTGGTTACTGTAAATATCATTAAAAAAATGTCCAATTTTAAAAAAATTTGGACACCTGAAGAAGTTTTGGTGCCAATTGAAATTAAAAATTTGAATTAAACTCAGAAAATTTCATAGCAATGTGTAAAGTCATTGCTGATGCAAAAAGTATAAGAAGTAATAGTGAAGGGTCAAGTGACAGGATCAAAAATCAAAAGAAAACTTCCCAGGACATTTCATCAGTAAGCAATTTATTTTTAGTTTTTTACAGTATACTATTATATATTGATTGAAATTAAACTTGCATTAATTAACATGATAAACATCACTAAGGATAAAGTACTATGAAAACAGTTGATACAAAATGTTCATCAAGAAAAGTGGTCACCCAAAAAGCAGATGTTTATATGTTCTGACCACTTTTGTTCTGGTTGCATTGTCCATACTGTTCTGTTCTCAGAAAGCAGACACTTATATGTTCTGACCACTTCTGTTCTGGCTTCATTGTTCATTGTCCATATGTTCTGGCTTCATTGTCCATATACAATCTTTTTACTGAGCTAGATCACCATATTTTTGACTCACCAGTTGGTGAAAATCATGTTATATTTCAGTTGACCAAGAGCATCATCAAGAGTTACTGTGAGGTTAAATTTACCATCTTGGAAAAAAGACCACTGAGAATTCATCTGGACAAAAAATTAGAAAGAAATTAAATAAACTTGTACCTTTTAAGCACCAGTGTGAGTGATTACACAGAATGTATCAGAGAAAGCTAAATATTACTAAAATTTACTATGAAACTGCCCAAGCTGAAAGTGCAGACTCTGCCTCAAACATAATTTTACTAAAGATTTATAGTGAAAACTGCCCAAGCCGAAAGTGCAAACTCTGTCTCAAACGTTTCACTAAAGATTTAGAGTGAAAACTACCCAAGCTGAAAGTGCAGACTCAGACTGTCTCAAACATTTCACTAAAGATTTACAGTGAAAACTGCCCAAACTGAAAGTGCAGACTTTTACAGTATAAACTGCCTACGCCGATAGTCGAAACGTTACTTACCAACTTCCATTTCCATAAAGTGGTGCCAGAAACCGTACGTACATGTATTGATTAGACGATACTTCACCAGAGAATCATTCACAGATTCAAAACAAATATATAAAGAATGTCGTAATTCGAAATTTTTAACTTTAAAATGCGATTCAAAGACAACAACATCGCCAATTAATGTTTTTTTCTTGTACCCTTTTCCAAAAAAGCTGCGATTTCAAGGCGAACGTACCTCAAAAAGGTATGTTTAATCCAGAAATGCAAAAAAGCCTCGAAAAGTATAGTATTTTCTATAGCATTTCATTGATGAGTGGGAACGACCAATATGGCCGCCGCCTATTTTCATGGGGAAAACCGCTGAGATTTTTGGCTTCAGTTTTGTATTCCGAGATGCGCTATCTAGTATATATGAGATATCTATGGTTTTGCCTGATATGACGATACCATAAGCTATCCCTGTTACCCCGGGAAGATCACCAAAGGCTTCGTCAACCTTCTTCTGGAATATATCTTAGCACATATTAGACCAAAAGGGAGCCTGAGAAAACGGTATCTGCCATGGGGAGAATTAAATTTAATATACAAGGAACTTTGATGACCTAACTTAATGTTCCAGTAACCACTTTTCGCATCGACGGGAGTATCTCATCAATAGTTGGGGTGCGGAGATGGCTTTATTTAAATCTTTGGGATCTAGACACAACCTGAGGTATCCGTTCGGCTTTCTTACACACACAAATGAGTTGTTAACTCAATCAGTGGGCTCTGACACTTGGTTATAATACCCTGTGCTTCTAGGGTATCAAGCTCTTTCTTTAACGATTCTGGGAGGGCGTCTGGAACCCTGCGGTGTGGATGGATTACTGGTGCTACTGCTGATCTAGCGTAATATGAAACTCTCCCTCAAAACACCCAACACCACTAAAACAATCAGCATAATCATGAAGAAGCGTCTCTTCGGGTCACCTTGCAAGGGGTTGAAAGGGGCTGGTTTCGAAACATGCTGGGTGCTGACTTGTATTGAAAACATTTAATGTGACTAATTTCGTATCACCGCAAGTAGGTAAGCCAGAGAAATATTGAAAACTATCCATATTTAGGATTACTTAGTTTCATGAAACATATCACTTTCGACAAATATTAGAGAAAATTGTCAAATTTTAATGGATGTTTCTCTAGCGCAACTAAGAAGGGAAAATATGGGTGTTAGGGGATAACTAGGGATATATATATATAGAGGTATATGGAACAAATTTATTTATATATGTTTACTTTACAACCATGGAGAAGCACAAAATATTAATATATGTTTAAAGTATGGTTGAAGTTATGATAAACAGAGCATTGGTCCTAGGTGGAGGCCAACCTGGCAAAAGTTGCAGAACAGTATACGAAAGGGCAAGTTGTGACGTCATTAAAATAAATTAATTATAAAACAAGATGGGGGAGGTTTGTCCCCAAATATGTCAAAATTAAAAAGTTAAGGAAAAGTTGCCTAATTTTACTTTAAACTTTAACCACTACATAGCATTGTCCATATCATAATAGGTCAACAAAAAATTTATACATCCCAGTTAAATTTACAATACATAACTACATATTCTCCTTTGGGACGTTTTAATATATAGGCTATACTACAAAAAATGACAGCTTAGTAAAGACATTTGGTAATCAATATGGTGGGTCTTGGTCTGTAAACGATCTTTCTCCTACAGCAAGATTTGTGCTAAAATAATGAAAATGTGCTATTAGTCTTGGAAACTTTTTTGCAGTAGACAATGTTTCTTTTTGCTCACCATATTTTAAGTTGCAATATTTTGGTCATTCTAATTAGAAATGCAATATATGTTTAAAGTAAAAATCTCATCTTGATTAACCTTTCCATTGTTAAATTTGCGGGATATGATTAGATGAATTCTAGCCGGGAAACAATGGAAACTAATTTACAATTCATTTAAAGGCAACATATCCGGCAACTTTGACAATGAAAAAGTTGATTAAGATAAAGATTAAAAAAGAAAAATTACATTTCTTCTCAGAATGACTCAAATATCACGTACAATCATGGAAAATAATATATTCGTAGACAAAATAATAATTTCTTCACATTTACGAACACATTCAACCTTGTTCCAAGGCTCTTCGCTCTTAAGGAGGAAAGATCTTTAAAATGCTTATAACTTTAAAATGCTTATAACAATTCATAAAGTAATGATATGTTTGTGCGAGACTTTGTGCATATATAGAGTTTATGAATTATGTATATATCCCTGACAAAATGTTATATCATGTTGTTATAAAAATCTGTTTAGTATATTTTTATAATTTAAAAGCAAACAAAAGTCAAATTTAGCAAATATTTTTACCTATGTATGATTTTCAAAGTTGACTGTACAGAACACTGATTCCTGTGTTAGTGCGATAGTGGAAACATGTAACATGATACCTTTCCCACGTGACAAGCTCAGACCACCAGAGTCTTTCCACCACAAGAGGGAAAGCCTGAGAACGAGGTTGAAACATTTTGTTTTCTTCAGTAAAAATATACTTACGAAATGCCAAAGATTGGGTTAATCCTATACGTGGAATCCATTCTGACCCGTTTTTTGCTATGAAGAAAAAGAAAATAATATTATTTTAATGTAAATTGGCGGGCAGTTTATAGGTGTTCATCATTGCGTTACGATATATGGTTACAAATTTATGCGGTTGTTGTAATTTTAAAAGTACAAGTTTCTGTGATGATTTCACGTAGTTTAGTCAACATGAAATTTAATTTAATAATATTCTGTAAAATTTATAAACACACCGAAGCTATGCTATAGCATTGGAAAATTATCAACAACTGTGTTGCACATCTTTACCTTTTCTGACCTTTGCACAAAAAGATACTCGCTGCTATTATGCCAATGATCAACAATGCACCGCTTAAGCATGGCAAAAGAATCTTCAGAACAACATCACTTCTATTGCTGTTATTTTTGTCTTTGACGGGTGTGGTCACTTCATCATCGCCAACATTGGATGGGAATGTAATTTTCACACTGGTAAAATTTCCTAGCATTGCACCGCCAGATACATTCAGCAATTTCACAAAAATCCCAATTTCCTGGTCCGTGTCAGGGATGAAGGGAAACCGTAGGTGAATAGAAGAATTCCACTGGCCCTCCCCAAATTCTACTTCTCCAAACATAGGAGAGACGACAAATGAATCAGGCGTGTTTGGCTCGATAGTGACACCCCACGTGATTTTTATCACATCTGTAGAACCTTTATATCTGGCTATATCTAAAAGCATTTCACCGCCGTATCGCTCTGAGCTATAGATGACGTTGTTGTCTTCTCCGATGACAGCATGTGGTGGAGGTCTGGATAGAGTATCTGACAAGAACAAATCGTATGCTAAGCTCTTCACGTTAATTTAAAACACTAAAAATTAGCACATTCAAAACAGAGGCGTAGTAGCCTGGGCTGGGGCCGGGGGGGCCGGGCCCCCCTGGCAAAATTTTGGCCAACCCTGGCAAAATTTGGGGGCCTGATAAAATGTATTTTATAAAAAAGGGAATCCTTGATTATATAGGTTCATGCTGTCAATAATGCAAAAATTCTGTAGAATATATGCTTTGCTGGGCATCGGTGTGAAACCTAAAATCACTTGTTCGCTTATTTACGGCACACAGCTTGACTGAAACACATACCTTTTCTAACCCTAATTATTTCAATATGTATTAAATTAGGGTTAGATGAAGTTTAAACGAATCTGTTTTTTCCACAGTGAATTTTAAATGCGGGCTCGGCAGTGGCGCCGTGGCCGGAGGGGAGGGGAGACCCGTCGGAAAATTGTCAATAAAGAGTTTGAGCAAGAAAACGAAGTACGAAGACGAAGGCGTACTTGCTAATTTTTGCCGTCTGCACATTACCTTGCGCATACTGAGTTGGATGTCACTGGTGGTTGCTCAACGTGTCTTTCCATGTGTCGCTGTTTATGCATACTGACCCTAATTCTTGCCCTGACTCAGAAGAAAACAGCGAGAATGAAACTATATCCCGTCTTTGTCCTTCTGCCTTCGTTCGGAACGAAGTTCACAGCGAATTTTCCCAAAAGAACGAAGGCGAGATATGGATTCCGCCATTCATGTCTCGCTGTTGACCAGGGTAAGGATTGACTGGGGAAGTCTTGATCAGGGTAAGGATTTGGGTCAGCATTCATAAACAGCTAGACATAAATCTCTAATCTGTCTTCACGCCTGACTCTAAACTCAGAATGCATAAGATAATGTGCAAGACAGGCAAAAATTGTCAACCACGGTGCACGTCGTCCGACTTCGTTCTCTTGCTCAAACTCTCTAATGTTAGTAGGAATCTTCGTGGTGAAGCATCGGAAAAAGTGATACGGAAATTGGGAAAAGTGCTACGAGAGCAATTGTAATGTTATTGTCCAGAAAACAATTTTACCGAAAAAGATGTAGACGAGATCTAAAATGTTGCGTGGTCCGCAAATTTTTTTCTTGCGCGAACTTTGCTTCTCGAGTCACTGGCGGCTTGGCCCCACCTGCGTTTTTGCCGGCCCCCTCCGACCGAAAATCCTGGCTACGCCTCTGATTCAAAAACTACAATGAAGCAAAGACGATTGTGAGGCTTGATAGCTGATAATTTCAAAACATACAGAAGAAGCCAATTCTGAAGGTTCCTGCTATATTCTCGCAATCTTCCATTGCATGTATGCTGTATGTCAAGCCTCGCAATCGTCTTTGCTTCATTGTAGTTTTTGAATCAGAGGCGTAGCCAGGATTTTCGGTCGGAGGGGGTGAGGTTGTCATGGTGAAATGATCACTTCATTTTTTTTTATATAATTATTTTTAATTTAAAAAAGGCCTGAAGTTATTATTTTAATCTGCAAAATTATCAATTTTCCAAATGTATACGATAGGTACATCTATGTACTTATGCACGTGTCACACACGCTTCGCAAATTGTGGTTGAATTATAACCATAAAACTTAACCAGGAATATTAAGTTATACCCCAAAGAGTATATGGATAAACATCGAGATTTTGTGGCATCGGTAGAACTAATAGTAGGTGGGTTCAGTTTTATATACCATCACCCGAAACTAAATTTGATCTGACATGACAGAATTCTTTGCATGAGCTCAAGCTCAAGCAAAGAATTCTGTCATGTCAGTACAAATTTAGTTTCGGGTGATGGTATATAAAACTGAACCCACCTCTACTATTAGTTCTACCGATGCCACAAAATCTCGATGTTTATCCATATACTCTTTGGGGTATAACTTAATATTCCTGGTTAAGTTTTATGGTTATAATTCAACCACAATTTGCGAAGCGTGTGTGACACGTGCATAAGTACATAGATGTACCTATCGTATACATTTGGAAAATTGATAATTTTGCAGATTAAAATAATAACTTCAGGCCTTTTTTAAATTAAAAATAATTATATAAAAAAAATGAAGTGATCATTTCACCATGACAACCACTTCAAATACTTCATGTTTGGGAAATATAGTGGTTTTGCTAGGAAAACGAGGGGTTTCTGCTTGCATGTATTTTTTAGTTTTAGATTTGAAATCTAAAAAAAATCTCGAAAAACCAGAAAGTCTTTAACCATGATGTTTTTAGAGTCTATCTTCTGCCGGCATCACTTCATTATATACACATGAATATGTGGTTGATGCTCAGCAACTGAACCCTGTAGCTCAGATTAAAGCACTGCGCCGAAATCGCAGGGCCAAAGGTTCTATTCCTGCCGGAGGGCCTCGCAACTGCTGCTGGTCAGGTATATAAATTTGCGTTCGAATACTAAATCTAGAAAAACCCAAATTTAGGTTATCATCCATCATCATACAAGTAAAAGCAGTATAAAATTACCGCGAAACTTTCCCGAAAGATCTTAAACGTAATATTTTAATAGGGACGATTGTAGCAAACCGATTTGCTCGGCCATTACATACCATTAGTTTGTCCGTCGAATTCAAATATTCCATTTTCAGCTTCGAAAGTCCAAAACAAGGCAAACTGAGTCAAATGACAAACGTTTACTTTGAGAACTTTCGCCTTTTTGTTAACTTGTGTCCATGGTTCTGGACATGTTTTCGCCGCATCAAACCTGTTGATAAAATGAACATGACCATGCATTATAAAACTTTCCTTCGAACCAGAAACAATTTGCACTAAACAATAACCAGATTAAATCAAGTTATTGTGTGCTTTATTAATATTCAAATAAAGGGGTGAGAAAATCCAGTGGAATATGCATGAATTGGTTAGTACGTAACCCTATTTTAAAAACACAAACACCTGTGACAACGACGCCAGCAGACGTGACCTATTTGAAATTCGTGATGTCGTGGAGAATACAAAAAAAATAGTGAAGTTTTCATTGCGCCATTCTTCCTTTTTCAAGGAGCTATTCTGAGATTCAAAATGGTATCCTTGTCTTTTAAACCTGCCTGTGCAATGGCAAAGTATTCGAAGTAAATGTTGTTCGACTTGGTTTTTGTTTTGTCACTTTTGTAATCAAGAAATTGGGATCACAAAATGTACTGTTTATAAATGTAATTAAAATTTGTGATGCGTATTTTACAGTCTAATACTTGAAAGGTTTCCTGAAAAATGTTCAACAATATTTAGACAGTCCATCGTAGCATTATTGGTGCGAAACGTGGAATTATTTTGGATTTAGTGCTGCCGTAATTTTCAACAAGGTTGAGACGCTATTAGCGCGGTGAAACCATCATGCGTGATGATGACAGAGTTTCCTATCCAGCGTTTTTATGAAATATGATACTTAGTAGTTAGTAAAAACGCAAAGTTTAAGCTTATAATATGAAATATGGAAGTTGTGAAATTCAAGTTAAGCCGGCCTAAAGAAAGAAGTGAAATTCAAGTCAAAATAACATTTTCTTAGAATTTGTATAGGAAAATGCACTGAATGGCAAGGTACTCGGACATTTTGCCGAAAGACACTTTGCCGAAAGACATTTTGCCGAAAGACATTTGCCGAAAGACATTTGCCGAACGGACAATTTACACCGAACGGTCGTTAGCAGTGCATAACCATATTCACTATTGGTAGCTTATTTGTGCAGCGGATGATTCATTTGTTAGGAACATGTTTTAACATCAGGTCGTAAACAAGCAAGCGTATATAAAGACAAGGACGTAAGCGAATTTCACTTCTAGAATCATAGAATACATTGAATTTCTCGGGGATTTGCACTCTTACAAATCATAGAATTTCTCGGGGAAATCGCATTCATGAATATCACGAAATTTCGGTAACCTTGTCAAAAACGTGAAAGAATTTAAAACGAAACTATATACTTCACTATCAAAGTTTCTGTCATCAAAATCGACAATGACCTTAATAATCACAGAAACGTCGGACCGTGTAAGCGAACCTTTAAAGTTCAGAAGATATCTCCATTTTCGGCAAGTTGTCCGTTCGTCAAAACGTCCGTTCGGCAAAACGTCTGTTCGGCAAAACGTCCGTCGGCAAAATTTAAAATGTCTTTCAGCAAAGTGTCTTTCCGCGAAATGTCAGGCCACCGGAAGAGAAAACTTGCCAAACTAAAATACCATGTTTGATTCTTTTCATCCCAAAGCAAAAGTACAGGATTAATATCTTCATTTGTCACATCATCACCGACGACCTTCTTGTTTATTTTCAACATTTGATCCGCGTCATAAACCAAAGTTATTGTTATCGGTTTCTTGAAACGATATTCAGACTGCAACGTGTTGTTTTCTGGTTCGTAGGCTTTAATTTGGAAACTATAGTCGCCAAGTTTGAAATGCTACAAAACACAAGAGACAATAATTATAGCATGAGGGACGGGGGGGGGGAGGAGGCTTGCAGCCAGCGGTCAGCAGGGCCGCCGAGAGCTTTTCGGGGGCCCGGGGTTATTTTTTTTCGGGGGGCCCTATTCACAATTTTTCCGGAATTTTGGGTAAAAAATTTTCCGGACGAGGACGTTTTAGTTGCTTTCGTGACACTTTCCACAAATTTTTCCATAGCGGCCAATTTTCGGTACTTGGCTCGAAAAACACAAATATTTCCCTCGAAATACAGAAATATTTTGCCCGAAAAAATGACTGGGCCCCCACAAAAGAATGACTAGGGGCCCCCAGAACCTGGGGCTCTTTGCCCCCCTGCTCGGCGGGCCTGGCGGTCAGTGTTCAGTCGGATAGATCCTACTAAAAAATCGGGCCTGCCCACCTCGATATAACCTATTTTGTCATGATATTAATGTTGAGATATTAATATTAGTGTTTAATTAGTGCTTAAATTGTTTCGGCATGAATTTCAGTTTTCGACGTGTCTTAAAGATTGATATCTCATTCAGAAATACTCGTAAATAGTTCTATATTTTTTTTATCGTTTTAATATTGACTTTGTATTTCCGCACATCTGCATAGGAGATGTACGTGTTACTTTTATCGTTCTCCTATTCATCTATCAATAAACTCACGTGTCGGGAAATGTCCATCAATGTCGGGGAATTTTTTGTCCGCCCTCCTAATTCTTTTCCGCCCGTATCGGCCTATGATAATTATACTGCAGTTATCGAATTCAACTTCGAATTCAATGTACAGTTATCACTTTTCATTTGCCGTTTTTATACTATAGAGACGACGTTAACAGCTAATATAAATACGGTTAATTAGACAGACGACATTATCGTCCGACGAAACAGCATGGAAACAGTCTTGTGGACGGCGGGTTTGTAATCGCCAATAGAGCGTAGCGTTAATAACATCTGCATTGAACTAATTCGGAAAATGTTTCAACCTGATCACAAACTCCATCATCCACTTCCGGAAAAATTTGACCAGATAAGACAAAGAGAAACACTACTTACAATTCTAGGGTTACAATTGTAGATAGCTACCTGCCATGATATGTGACTTGATAGTTATTTTATCGTCGTTATAGTAAATTTAAACTTGCCATTGTATGAGTGTCGATATATTTGATTGTAAAATGTATTTATTCTTTTGTTTTATTCTTTGTAATACGAATTTCAATTTAGCAAATTAGGGAGCTATTCGATGTGTATTAAATTATTAATCAAACAAAACAACTTATTATATAGCAAATGTCAAAGCTCAATTTTCCTGTTTGCCGATTGGTCAAAACCGTATCACGTGCCAATCCACATAACGTCATGTCAACTGCATGCTTTGGCGAGGGAGCAACCGGTCAACAATGAAACAATCGTATAAAATGGGACGGAGCGACCATTTTGGTGATTGATAGTCGTACGTTCTCTCGCGAAATGAGAGAGTCAATTGAAATCGAGAAGCACAATACTATATATACATTAAGAGGGAAAGCCACTAGATATAGTACGTGACGTGCCTCTTTCATGCGCAAAATTTCTCTCGCCTTTAGTGCTAATAATACGTGACTTGTTCAATTCCACGCCATTTTATATACCAAAGTGTCGTGATCTGTTGGCTCGCGTCATTCGAAATTTAATTAAATAGCACATCAACCACACCATTACAAACGTAGTGAAGTGATTCTAATTAACGCGCGCGCATCCATGAATATCCGGGCTTATGGATCGAAAGCTATGCAGTAATAAATTTACGTAGTGTTTCCACAAACAAAATTATTAAAAGAAACAATCATTGACCGGCCAATAATCCCCGAGCCGACGGCGCAAAGCGCCGTGCGAGAGGGTATTAAATCCCCCCGGCTATTTACACCCGGGGAAACGAAAGCATTAGCGGAGTCTAAAGTTTATCAAATATTGCGGGCGTGGGTCACCAACGGTGTTGGGTGGGTGGTCATCCTCACTGACCTCAAAAATATGGCGGACTGTCATAAATAGCGGACACTGATTGGTCCAATTTAAAATTTGCATAAACGACTGCATCACGACAGCGAAATATATAGCAAACATTTCTTGATTTGATGATTCATGATTGATAAATTTCTTGCGAATATATTTCATTTTTACTCGCATTTTTGCAATATTTTGTAAATTTCAAAAGCTGTCTCAGAAAGAAACTGCGAAAGAATCGGCTAAAAGAAGGGAGCCGACGTTAACGAAGGTAACTTTGTTTTAAATATTGATTTTATAATGGCTTTATAAAATCCCGACGGCCTTTGCGTATATATATGAAACAACTAAACAAGACAGAATATAATTTTTCAGTGTATGTTTAATATTGATTCCCTTTTTAATTATATTGAATTTTTTAAATAAAACAGAAAGCAAAGTTATTTGCAAGCGAGAATTTAATTGAAATCATTTTATTGCAAACTCAAAGTTTATCGATAAAGCCATTTAATTAAAGGCAGTTTAGTTAAAGAGCACTTTAAAACGTTTTGCGAAGCGTTTGTGGTTGAATTTTACCTGCTTATATTGGGGATTATATTACGTATAATAACATACCTAACATATATATGTTGGGAAATTAACAATTTTGTAATTAAAGTGATATTTTTAGGCGATTTTTCATTTGTAAGAATATTCTTAAAAAATTATCGTGTTACCATGACAACTAGTTTAGAACTTCATGTTCGGAAAATACAATGGTTTTGTCAGCAAGGTGAGGGTTTCTGCATGAATGTATTTTCTTGTAAAATAGGAAGTGAAGTGCGAGTTGTTCGCGTCAACCAGCAAGTTGTTTAAAGGGTTTCAGCATGCCTGCCGGTCGGTTTTATTACAGCTTCGGAATACCAAGGTAAATTATTGAGACTTTCACACTTGCTATCTAATAAAACACTTATTTACTGAGACCTCAGAAAAACAGCTTGTTTTGTGGGCCCGAGACCGCCGTTGTTGCTCTCGGTTTCGCTTCGGTCTCGAGGCCACAAAACACGCTGTTTCCCTCAGTCTCAGTAAATAAGTAATAAATATAAAATATTAAACGTAATAGCGTGTTCAGATAAGAGGGTCTGGAAGACATAAAATAAAAGTTGTCTGAACGTAACATGCGGTGTGAAACAACAAAGGGAGAAATTGCAGTAAGTATTTTTTGCGAGAAAATTATGGTATTTTCTGTATAACCTCATATAAAGGTTTGGCCGGTGTTTCCATTGGATATTTGGCAGTAATTTACCAATATTTCAGAATTCCAAGTCAAGTATGTTTGACAAAGAGTCATGAAATTTCAAATCGGATAAGGTGTAGGGGCCTTGGGCAATGCTTAAATAATATTACTTTTTAAGCAGCACATGAAAATGGGTCGTTCCAGAAAAGATCCATACCCCCCCCCCCCCCCCCCACGGAGGAAATTTTTGCTGTCCGAAGGGGGAGGGAGGAAAAATATCTTAGGATGTCCGAAGGGGGGAGAGAAAAAATGTCTTAGGATGTCCGAAGGGGGGGGGGGGGGGGG